TCGACTCCTCCAATGTCAGGCAGAATACACTACATAGTTTAGCTCACAAGGCTCTAGATCAGATTTTATCTTCTAACCTCATCTTCTTCTTTCTCTTGTTAGCTTTCTTTCTTCCCAGCTACACTGATATTTCTGGATCATTCCAAACATTCTTCTGCTTCAAAGTTTTTACAATTTATTTCTTCTCTTTGAAATGGGAATGGCTCACACCTTTGTATCACTCAAATTTGTTCTCAAATGTTCCATTATGACAGAGGCCTTCCTTGGATCACCTTGCAGCATGCCACAACACTCTTACCTTTTACCGTTACTGCATTTTACTTCACAGCACTTGTCACCAACAACTTTGTTTATTGTCTATCTCTGCCCTAGACGTATAGCTCCTTGGGAAACAAGAATTATTTATTGAAGGTCTATATACACACATGGATTGGCTAATTTTTAACTTCTTTTTGCAGTACAGGGGATAGATCCCAGGGTCTTGTGCATGCTAAACAAACTTTATGACTGACTTATATCCCTAGCTCATCATTATTAACTCATTCATACACTCAACACATCTAAAGAAATGGTTTGATAGCCTCACAGGTAAAAGGTCGTAAAACTTATAAAATCCCAAGATCCTCAAGTATCCTATACACCTAACTCTAAGGCATGTTTGGATTATACCAAGCTATACTGAGAAATGAAAAATGCCTCAGTTTCATAAGAAACTTGGCATTAGCACAAAGTGCCAAGCATATCAGATCAGAAGGGAAGTTGATAAGAAATTATGAGAGGCTTTGAACTTGACCAGAGTGAAAAACTGATTAGTATCAAGGCAGAATAAATACTCTAAGGTAGATCAGTACTACAGCTGTTGGTAGCCAGATCCAGATAAAGTGGTTTGGGGAGGAAGAGGAAACTGTCATCATAAAGTAAAAATTAGGAGGGGTAGAGGAAGAGGTCAGCCTTAGAAGCTATTAAGAATTCCAACTTCGAGAGGGAGGGAAAACCACACCCACTTCAGAAATTAGTCATTGGTATTTTTCTGACAACCTTCTCCTCAGCATTCAGGGATTATAAAAGATTTGGTGGTTCAGGTATTGGGAATAGTGGGAGCAGAGAGCAAGAGAGCAAGTTACATGCAGCCGAGGATGACACATGATCAGGAGTGCAAAAACTTCCAGGAAATTGGCTACAAGTTGGTAAAAAAAAAAATGGGTACATATTTACTTCATGACAGCCTACATTTATGGGCTTAAAGTGGATCATCAATATAACAAAATATATTGGAAGTGGCGCTGTGGCTCAAGTGGTAGAGCGCTAGCCTTGAGCTGAAGAGCTGAGGACAGCACGCAGGCCCAGAGTTCAAGCCCCATGACTGACCAAAAAAACAAAAACAAAAAGAAAAACAAAAACAAAATATATGCTCTAGAGAATGGCCCCACCAATCCAATTTTCCATTCAAAGGTTCAATATTGCTGTGATCTCCATTTTTATTCGATCTTTAAATTTTTTAAAAAATTACTTTTCCCTATCTCTTTTAAAACAAGCTTTAAGTAGTTATATAAAGAGGTTTAAATTCAACATGTCAATTTATGAGTACAATGCATCTTGACCAATGTCACCCCTTTCTAGAATGGTCCTTGTTCTAAGTTCCTCTTCAGATTTTATCCAGGTCTACTTTTTTTGCTATTCTTTTATTTGTTTACCCATTCATGCTAGAAACACTTATTGATCCCCCCATCATATGCTTAATAGTTACAGGTGCTTTGATTGTTTCCTTGTAAACAAAACAAAAATTCTCTCCTTCATGAAGGTTACATTTTAACTATCCATTTGCACTTTTTGCCCCTACTGACAAAGTCCTAACCCCTCTCTTCAATCATTCCCACTTTTTAAAATGGCTTCCTTCATTGGCACTTAGTCACATTGACAAATGTCAGCTTAAAATTTTTATTTTCAAAATTATATTGAGTGAAGTAAGCCAGGCCCAAAGAAACATAGGTCCCATGGTTTCCCTTATTTGCAATAACTAGTATATGTTTTAGACAAGCAGAAATGGTCAGATAAGTTAATGTTAAGCAAAATGAACCCCACGATAGGGATTCAAATGGTTTTTCTTTCTGGCTATTGTTTCTAACATATTTATAAGATTTTTTTTGTTGCTTTGTATGTCCCTCCCCCACAGTATAACCCCTGTTTTTACTGTATTTGATGTTGGTATAATTTGTGGAGGGGAAGGGAAAAAACAGGTAGACCCATTGCAACAATGAGATGTACAAGATGTTATGTTTAAAATGAACTTTACAATTTTGGCATGGGGGGAAAAGGGGGAGTGGGGGGTGGGGAGAGATGGAAAGGGATGGGAAGGGGAAACAAAGGAGGAAGCAACAATGCTTGATAAGAAATGTACTCATTGCTTGATAAGAAAAGTACTCATTATCTTGCCCATGTAATTGTAACCCCTCTGTACAGTATTTTCACAATAAAAAATAAATATTTAAAAAAATTAAAAAAAAGAAATGTACTCATTACCTTGCCCATGTAATTGTAACCCCTCTCTAGGGTATTTTCACAATAAAAAAAGTTTTATTTTCAGCCATATACTAGTTATTGCAAACAAGGAAAACCATGGGACCTATGTTTCTTTGGGCCTGGCTTACTTCACTTAATATAATTTTTTCCAAGTCTTTCCACTTCCTAACAAATGGGGCAATGTCATTCTTTCTGATGGAGGCATAGAATTCCATTCTGTATATATACCACATTTTCTTGATCCATTCATCTACTGAGGGGCATCTGGGTTGGTTCCAGATCTTAGCTATGGTAAATAATGCTGCAATAAACATAGTTGTGCTGGTAGCTTTAGTATGGCCTTGTTTGTGTTCATTTGGGTAAATGCCCAAAAGTGGGATTGCTGGGTCATAGGGAAGCTGTATGTGGAGTCTTTTGAGGAACCTCCATACTACTTTCCAAAGTGGTTGAACAAGTTTACACTCCCACCAACAATGCAGTAGGGTTCCCTTCTGTCCACATCCCCTCCAGCATCTGTTGTTATTAGAGTTCTTGATTATAGCTATTCTAACTGAGGTGAGGTGGAATCTCAATGTTGTTTTGATTTGCATTTCTTTTATGGCTAGGGAGGTTGAGCATTTCTTCATGTGTCTATTGGCCATCCTTCTTTCCTTTTCAGAGAAGTTTCTCTTTAAGTCTTTAGCCCACTTATTTATTGGGCAGTTGTTTCTTTGAGGATTTGTTGTTGGGGGATTTAATTTTTGTGATCCTAAGTATATTTTAGATGAGACCCTTGTCTGTTGTATGGATACTGAAGATGTTTTCCCAATCTGTGGGCTTTCTATTAATCTTGCTACCTATGTCCTTTGCCATACAGAAGCTCTGGAGCTTCATGCAATCTCATTTGTCCAACCTTTCTTTGATTTGTTGTGTTTCTGGGTCTCTATTAAGAAAATGTTGGCCTGTGCCAAGGAGCCCTAGAGCTTCTCCTCTTCCTTCCTGTAATGTTTTCAGGGTATCTCCTTTGACTTTGAGGTCTTCGATCCATTTGGAGTTGATTCTGGTACAGGGTGATATATAAGGCTCTAGCTTTATTTTTCTATAGGTGATTAACTAATTTTGCTAGCACCATTTACTGAAGAAGCTATCTTTCTTCCATTCTATTTTTTTTAGCTCCCTTATCAAAGATTAGTCTATGGCTGGGACAAGCAGAAAAGCTCAGATAAGATGATGTTAAGTGAAATGAACCCTAAATTGGGACACGAGTGGTTTTTTCTTCCTTGATATTGTTTCTAAGGTATTTATAAGGTACCATGTGATTGTTTTGTTGCTTTGTATGTCCCTCCCCCATGGTATAACCCCTGTTTTCACTGTATTTGATGTTGGTATAATTTGGGGAGGAAGGGAAAAAACAAAATGTTCACATAGGGATACAGTTTGACCCATTGCAACAATGAGATGTACAAGACGCTATGTCGAAAAACAAACTTTACAATTTAGGTGTGGGTGAGGGATGTAGTTGAGGAGGTGGGAGGGATGGGATGGGAGGGGAAAAACAAAGTAGTAGGCAACAATACTAGATAAGAAATGTACTAATTACCTTGCTCATGTAACTGTAAACCCCTGTACAGTATTTTCAGAATAAAAAACTTATTTAAAAAAGTTTTAGTTTCAGCATAAAATGGTATTGCTTTGTAACCCCCTCTAGAAACATTTCATTGGCAGATGTATTCAGATATATGCCATCTTTGAATCCAGATGGCATTGTGGCAGCCCAGAGCTATACATTCTAGAAACTTCTGTGCCAATGGGGTAGCATTCTCTTAATTGACAGACTAATATTGAAACAGAGTGACTCAAAGATCCTGCCCAGGAGCTAACTCAACATTTTATGGTATCCCACAGAATATACTAGTAATTAACTCAAAGCTATTACATCCATAATAGGGATGGTTTTCATTGGTGTGCCACTATTTAGCTGAAGGGGAGTGAATATCACCATTGTATACTATAAATACCAAAGTGAGCCAAATACTGGGCTGGATTCTAGGGTTACAAGAAGGGAAATTAATATTTGCCTTCAAGAAACTTACACACTAGTTCTAGAAACTTGAGTTCAGATTTTGAAAGAGTGGCAGATATCACCATTGACATGATTATCATTGGATTTGACATATAAAAGCCAGATACTGAAAATCTCCAAAGGTAGAACTAAATCCATAGAAAATATTCAGGGTCTATAGAAGAGAGGTAGTCTTTATGGAAGGTGACTTTGAGAGTCACAAATGATGTTGTAGCCTTCAAAAATATTAAGAAAGAACTGAAGCTATGTGGAGTAGGAAGTAGGAGGATGCTTGCCGAATTGATTCTATATCAAAAGACTGATTGAGGCTGGAGAAATCTTACATGACCTTGAACCTCTGAATAATATATGAGATGATAAAGTGTATTTGTTATTAAAAAACCTCAAAAGTGATAAAGGATCATTTGGTTAGACTTACCATCTGTACCTTCACTGCTTTTGCTTCTTTTATTGCGGCGAACACGCCTATTTTCCTCTTCAGAGTATGATTTTTCATCAGGGAAGAAGAAATTCATCAGGGCCATCTGTAAAAATAATAATAAAATGAGTCCAAGTTTGACCCCAGTTAGCTATAAGCCAATGCTTACAGAACAAACTAGCTTTCAACAGATGGTCTACCTTTTTCTTAATTTCAAGAAGTTTAGAGCCTGAGTCCATGTTCCCCTCAGTGTACAAATGCTTCTATTACATTTTTCCCCTGTGCCAGTACTGGGGCTGGAACTCAGAGAAGGAGCACTGTCCTTACCTCTTTCACTAATGGCTACTGCTCTACTATGTGAGCTTCTTGCTTTTGGTGGTTAAGTGGAGATAAGTCTCATAGACGATAGAACTGTGGTCCTCAGGTCTCAGCCTCAATTAGCTAGGATTATAAGTGTGAGCCACTGACACCTGACTAGATGCTTTTATTACTTATATCACTACTATGCCAAGCATATAAGCACAGAATTTTGGTTAATCACTGTGTCCTCTCTCTCTTCTTCCATAGTATCTAATGAAAAATATATCAGGTCACATTTACCCATAAAATTCTGGGGTTCATTCTTAAATGAACTAGAGGAAGCAATCCAAAATTTCATATGGAACAATAAAAGACCCCAAATAGGAAAAACAATCCTTAGCAGAAAGAACAGTACTGGAGGAATATCAATATCAAATTTCAAACTCTACTACAATCCCCCAACAACAAATTCTCAAAGAAACAACTGCCCAATAAATAGTGGGCTAAAGACTTAAAGAGAAACTTCTCTGAAGAGGAAAGAAAGATGGCCAATAGACACATGAAGAAATGCTCAACCTCCCTAGCCATAAAAGAAATGCAAATCAAAACAACATTGAGATACCACCTCATCCTGGTTAGAATGGCTATAATCAAGAACTCTAATAACAACAGATGCTAGAGGGGATGTGGACAGAAGGGAACCCTACTTCATTGTTGGTGGGAATATAAACTTGTTGAACTACTTTGGAGAGCAGTATGGTGGTTCCTCAAAAGACTCCACATAGAGCTTCCCTATGACCCAGCAATCCCACTTTTGGGCATTTACCCAAATGATCACAAACAAGACCATACTAAAGCTACCAGCACAACTATGTTTATTGCAGCATTATTTTCCATAGCTAAGATATGGAACCAACCCAGATGCCCCTCAGTAGATGAATGGATCAAGAAAATGTGGTATATATACACAATGGAATTCTATGCCTCCATCAGAAAGAATGGCATTGCCCCATTTGTTAGGAAATGGAAAGACTTGGAAAAAATTATATTAAGTGAAGTAAGCCGGGCCCAAAGAAACATAGGTTCCATGGTTTCTCTTATTTGCAGTAACTAGTATATGTCTAGGACAAGCAGAAAAGGTAAAATTAAACTATGTACATATGACCATATAAGATGATACTAAGTGAAATGAACCCTAAGATAGGGACACACGAGTTTTTATCTTTCTTGCTGTTCTTTTTTAATGTACTTATAATGTACTATGTGATTTTTTTGTTACTTTTGTATGTTCTTCCCCCATGGCATAACCCCTGTTGTCACTGTATTTGATTCTGGTACCCTGCATCTTGTATACACATTTTTCTAATTTGGGAAGGGGAAGGGAAATAACAAAATGCTGCAACAAGGACACATATTGACCAAGTGTATCAATGAGATGTACAAGACACTATGTTGAAAACGAACTTTACAACTTTGGGGGAGAGGGAGGACTTGGGGTGGTAAGGAGGGAAGGGATGGTGGGGAAAAACAAAGGAGTAGGTTACAATGCTCGATAGGAAATGTACTCATTACCTTACTCATGCAACTGTAACCCCTGTGTACAGTATCTTTACAATAAAAAATATATATTAAAAAAGAGTACACATAGATCCCCCTATGACCCAGCAATCCCATTTCTGAGCATTTATCCAAATGACCACAAACAATGCTACACTAAAGCTACCATCACAGCTATGTTTATCGCAGCATTATTTACCATACCTAAGATATGGAAGAAACCCAGATCCCCCTCAGTAGAGGAATGAAGAAAATGTGATACACACACACACACACACACACACACACACACACACACACACACACACACACACAGAGGAATTCTATGCTTCCATTAGAAAGAATGACACTGCCCCATTTGTAAGGAAATGGGAAGACTTGGAAAAAAATCATGCTAAGTAAAGTAAGCCCGACTCAAAGAAACATAGGTCCCATGGTTTCCCTTATTTGTAATAATTAGTATACAGCTAGGATAATCTTAGCAGATGGGCAGAATACCTCAATAGCTATGTGCATATGATGGTATAAGATGATGCTAAGCAAAATGAACTACAAGACATGGACACAAGAGGTTTTGCTTTGTTATTATTCTCAATATACTATGTGGTTTTTTTCTTTTTGTGTTTTATCCCCTGTGGTGTATCCTTTGTTGTCCCTGTATTCAATTTTGGTACTCTGGGTATTGTATATATGTTTATCTGAACTAGAGAAGGGAAGGGGAACAACAAAATGGTGAGACAAAGGACAAAGTGGTTGGAACCTATGTAACAGCAATAACCACAAGGCAATATGTTGGATATGATCCTTATAACTTAGGAGGGTATTGGAGGGCAAAGAAGGAGAAAAATGAGGGAGGGTGTAACAAGTTGGACAAGAAATGTAATCACTACCTTACTTATGTAACTGTAACCCCTCTGTACATCACCTTGACAATAAAAATTTTTAAAAATTCTGGGGTTCAGAGGGACCCAGTCACAATTTTCTTATTTCCATTTACACTGACAAATGTCAGCTTAAAAATCTCATTTTCATCTTTGTAAAATCATACTGCTTTTTGACCCCTCCAGACACATTTCATTGGCAGATATTGCCAGATGCATGCTGTGTTTGATGCCTACTCAAAACTAGCCTTGTGTTTGTTAGTCCCACTTGAACTTCATTATTATACAGTTCTGATTTTACCCCATTCCTGTTTATGCTGTACTTTGGTTGTTTCTACAGTGCTGATCATCCAACATGTGTATGGATTCTCTTGGGGAAGTTAGTCATGACAAAGAACAAAATTATTCTCGCCCTTTCCTAGTCTCTTGAAGCACTAATGGTCTATAAGACTCAATTTGGTCCACTGAAAAATATTCCATATTTTGTCCAATGGTTTTAAAAGAAAAAATTAAGCTTGCTCATCCTCAAAAACTAAGTGGGCATATGATAATATATTTGAATAAAATGAAGCTGAAAAATTGAAAGTCAGATGTTGACAGTTGATTATCTTATGTATTATAGGCATCCCTCATAATAATATAATATTTCATATGTGATGGGTTTGGTTCATGAACAATAATCATAGCTTAAAGATATACCTGTTGAATTGAATCAAGATCTTTCCGCATGAGTGTGGTAAAAAGATGTGCATCAGCCAGGTGCTGGTGACTTATGTCTATAATCCTAGCTACACAGGAGTCTGAGATATGATGATAGAGTTTTAAAGCCAGACATTTTGAGAGATTCCATCTCCCATTTCAAAATGCCAGAAAGTGGAGCTGTGGCTCAAGTGGTGGACTATCAGTCTTGAGTGAAAAAGCTAAGAAATGGTGCCTAGGCCTTGAGTTCAAGCTCCAATACTAGCACAAAAAATGCGTGATGCAACTCATTAAAATGCACAAAATAGCAAGTTAATAAGTGAATATAGTCATAAACTCTAACTTATCAATAGTTTTGCATTGCAAAACCTCTTTAGGCTAAACCAAAAGAATTTGCCATTTTGTTAGTCCAGCAATGTTAGATATCAGCAATTTCTCATGGTCGAACTAAGCAGTATTTTGGAGTTATTTGATTGGAATGTAAGATGTATTTTCCCATAGAAGCATAAAGTCTGGCTAGGTATACAGAAAGCTACTTAACCCACAATATGTACTAGTAACAGGATAAAAACAAACTGCTATTTACAATAAATTTTTCACACCCGTGGTGGTAGTGTATGACTGTAATATCAGCGACTAGAAGGTTGAGGCAGGATGATAGCAAGTACAAAGCCAGCTTGTGCTACAATAACAACCAAGAACCGGGCTGGGAATGTGGCTTAGTTGTAGAGTGCTTGCCTAGCATGCATGGAGCCCTGGGTTCAATTCTTTAGTACCATTTAAACAGAAAAGGCAGGAAGTAGTGCTGTGGCTCAAGTGGTAGAGTGCTAGCCTTGAGCAAAAGAAGCTTAGGGACAGTGGCCAGGCCCTGAGTTCAAGCCCTAGGACTGGCAAAAAAAAAAACCCCAAAACAAACAAAGAAATCCTTTTGTGTTGGAAATGTGGATTAGTGGTAGAATGCTTCCCTAGCATGCATGAAACCTAGGGCTGGATTCCTCAGTACCACATAAACAGAAAAAAGCCAGAAGTGGCACTGTGGCTCAAGTGGTAGAGCACTAGGCTTGAGCACAGAGAGACTCAGGGACAGAGCCACAGCCCTGAATTCAAGCCCCAGGGCCGGCAGAAAAAAAAGGAAGCTGTTTCAAACACCAGGTTCCCTGCACAACTTTCCCCAATCCCAATTATTTTGATTTTGTAAGTCATTCTGGATAGAAGAATTTTCTTAATAACTTTGAATGCTAAATTTTATTTTGTCTATTTTAGCTAGAAATTAGTCAACTTAGAACCTACTGGATATTTCAGACTATTTGTCTGTGCATTTAAATGATCCCTGTGTATAATTTTTTTTGTGCTGGTACTGGGGCTTGAACTCAGAACCTGGGTGCTGTTCCTTAGCGTTATTGCTCAAGGCTGATTACCACTTTAGTCACAACTCTACTTACAGCTTTGTTTTGATGGTTAGTTGGAGATTCACAGACCTTCTTGCTCATGCTGGCTTTGAACTGCCATCCTAAGATCTCAGCTTCCTGTGTAGCTAGGATTACAGGAATGTGCCAACAGTAACTGGCTGAGAGGATTTTTTGTTATTTTGCTTTTTGTTTTTGTTTTTCCTCTTTGTCACTGTTTGATTTATGTACTTTCTATCTTGTATGTAAGTTTATCTGTTTGG